ATGAGGAAAATAAGTCAAAGAGAAATAAATAAAAGCGTTCTGTGGGGAGTGGGGGGGGGGGGGGGTTGGGGGAGTAGGAAGATCTCCAGGGAAGAATCAAATAGAGATTACACGTGGGTCAAATCGAGGCAGAGGTTAATTTTTTTTCATAAAAGCTGTTTGGTGTCTCTCCTTTTCAAATGTTGGCCTACTAAAAGTGCTTACATACTGTATATGGAGTCATTACAATATTGTGTTTGCTTTTTTCAATTTTTACTAAAAGCTGTCCAGTGTCTCTCCTTTCCAAAATGCTGCCTAATAACAGTAATAATATACTGTGCATAGAGTCAGTACAATACTTTGATGGCTTTTTTCTTGTGAAATCATACAATTCAATTTGGATTTTTTGATGAAAAGATGCCTGGTGTCTCTCCTTTTACAAATCTGTAAATGATTACATACTGTGCATGGAGTTAGCACAATGTGTTGCTGGCATTTTTCAAGTAAAATAATACACTCTAATATAGATTTTTTTAATTAAAAGCTGCATGGTGTCTCTCCTTCTAAAAATAGGGCCTATTAAAAGAGCCTAACTACTGTGCATGGAGTCAGTACAATATTTTGCCGAATTTTTAAAAAAAACATTCCAATGTTGATTTCTCCATTAAAAGCTGACTAGTGTGTCTCCTTTTCAGAGTGAAGCCAAGTAAGGGTGCTTAAATACTGTACATGGCATCAGGTTGAGTTTAAAAGCTAAGCTTGGGGTTCATTTTGAGCTTTAGTTTTGATTAAAGTCAGTTCAGAGTAAATGTTTAGTGTAAGGGGGATAAGTATTAATTTTAAGAAGTATGATAAGTGATAAAATGAGTTAGGGATAGGTGATAGTTGGCGAGTCATGGGTGCAAACAGTGAAATTCTCGTTGGCTCTAAAGACCAAAAAAGCTAACTGTTTGGAGCACTAAATACACAGGGTGCAAAGCTATAAATATGTAATATATTATTAAAATGGCAGCCATGGTAAAAAAAAGAGAGGCTTGTCTGACAAAAAGGGCCAGCCGTGAGAGGAAAGAGGCAAGTACATTGTCTATCTTACCTACAATTTTCCTTCATAATATTTTCTTCCTAGTAGAGGTACACTTTCATAGATAGCACATATTTATTTAATGCAAGGCAACTTAAACATAACTTGAAACTTACCTTTACTGGTCCTTTAAGAATATGCTGAATAAAAAAAAATATGAATTATAGCATTCATTTATAAATTAAATATTGCAACTACTAAATTAACATTTATCTAGTGAATGTACTATGAACTCTTAATAGAAACAGATTAACCTTAACATCAATATAGCTTGATTTTAGAGATTACATAGGTGTGTTTAAACATGTGCAAACCCTAGAGGCTGCAATAGTTGGAAGGCAAGCACTGACATACAGTCCACTCTCTAAATACCTCATCGTTTCTCAGATAACACATTCTAGAATATACAAAAATGTTCTTTAGTGAGTTTTTAAAGGAAGCACCTGAAATATATAGCATATCTTGGGCATGTACAAATGGCAAAATATTTTATGTGATGCACTGCCTTACTGAGAGTTATTAGACTCCATTATACAGCTGCTGTTATCTCAGTAGTAAATGTGTTTTTCATATGTGACAGTTAAAAATGATGATGACTTGAAGCCAATGAAT